TGCTGCCCTTGGCTTCTTAAAGAAGAGCCGAACATCACTATTCCTTCTTTTGACTTGTTGACTTGATGATTTTTTTTTTTTCAGAACCCATATTTTACATTCTCCCCTCCTTAAAAAAATTTCGCCCTCGAAATTTAGAGCGAAATTTAGACGTGCCTCAATCATCGAACAAGTGAGGGTATTTGCGTCTTGCCTCCTCCTCAAGCTCCCAAGTGGCCTCCCTCTCATTGTGGTTTTGCCATTGAATCTTTACGTAAGGAATAGTGCATTGTCGTAGCACTTGATCTTTTCTATCAACAATGCATACTGGTTGCTCGTCATACGATAGGTTTTCCTTTAACCGCAAAGGTGCAAAGTCAAGCACATGTTCAGGATTTGGCACATATCTTCGCAATAAAGACACATGAAACACATCATGCACGCCCGATAACGCTGGTGGTAAAGCCAGTTTATAAGCAACTTCACCAATCTTCTCTAATATTAAGAATGGTCCCACATATCTTGGACTTAACTTACCATGAGTGCCAAATCTCATAACGCCTTTCATTGGAGAGACTTTGAGGAATGCATGATCTCCCACATCGAACTCTACCTTGCGTCTTTTGAGGTCAGCATAGCTTTTCTGACGGCTTTGTGCTATTCTCAAATGCTCTCGAATCACCTTGACTTTCTCTTCTGACTGCTGAATAAACTCTGGACCAGTTAATCTTTTCTCACCAACATCATCCCAACATACGGGAGTTCTGCATTTTCGACCGTATAGAGCTTCAAAAGGAGCCATCTTGATGCTAGAATGATAGCTGTTATTATAAGAAAACTCCGCCAAATGAAGGTGTTCGTCCCACGAACCACCAAAGTCAATAACACAGGATCTTAGCATGTCCTCTAATGTCTGAATCATTCTTTCAGACTGTCCATCTGTTTGCGGGTGAAAAGCCGTGCTAAAGTTGAGTTTAGTACCCAATGCTCCTTGCAAACTCTTCCAAAAGTTAGACACAAACCTGGGATCCCTGTCAGAAACAATGCTCACTGGCACCCCATGAAGCTTCACTATCTCATTAATATACCGCTTCGCCATATCCTCAAGTGAAAGACCGAATCGATATGACAAAAAGTGAGCAGATTTAGTCAATCGATCGACAATCACCCATATAGCATTCTTACCACTAGATGTCCTCGGTAGACCGCCATGGTAATATGCTCCCACTTCCACTTAGGTATTTCAAGTGGGTGTAGCTGTCCACCTGGTTTCTGATGCTCAATCTTCACTTGCTGGCAAACCAGACACTGGTCAACAAACTTCACGATATCTTTCTTCATGTTGATCCACCAAAAATTCTCTCTCACATCCCTGTACATTTTAGTGCTTCCCGGATGGATAGAGAATCTCCTACTATGAGCTTCCTGCAATATCTCCTTTTTCAATCCTGAATCATCAGGAACGCATAGCCGACCATGAAACCTCAATGACCCATCCGCATGGATACTGAAGTCCTTTTGTCTCCCAGCTTCTACTCCTTCTCTAATCTTTCCCAACTGAGAATCCCCATTCTGTTTAGCCTTAATTCTATCAATCAACATTGGTTGTACTTGAAGATTAGCTAATTGAGCACCAAGCTGATGTACCAATACCTCCAGGTCCAACTTCCTCATATCCTCAAGAATAGGCTTCTGAGAAGTGAGCAATGTAGCCATGTTTCCATAAAATTTACGACTTAGGGCATCGACTACTACATTTGCCTTACCTGGATGGTAATTGATAGACAGGTCGTAATCCTTTAAGAGTTCTAGCCATCTCCTCTGTCTCATGTTTAATTCTTTCTGAGTAAAGATGTACTTCAAACTCTTATGATCAGTAAAGACCTCACATTTCTCACCATACAAGTAGTGCCGCCATATCTTCAAGGCAAACACAACCGCTGCTAACTCCAAATCATGAGTGGGATAATTTCTCTCATGTACTTTCAACTGTCTAGAGGCATAGGCTACAACTTTACCATTCTGCATAAGAACACAACCTAAACCTTCCTTAGATGCATCACAGTAGATTGTGAAACCACTAGTACCTGAAGGCAAAGTCAATATAGGAGCCGACACTAACCATCTTTTCAACTCTTGGAAACTGCTCTCACACTGATCTGACCACACAAATTTAACTCCCTTCTGAGTTAGGCGAGTAAGTGGACCGGCAAGTTTAGAAAATCCCTCCACAAACCGCCTATAGTAGCCAGCTAGACCAAGAAAACTTCTCACTTCAGTGACATTGGTAGGGCGACTCCATTGGACAACTGCTTCAACTTTCCTCGGGTCAACCGAAATGCTATCCTTCGAGATTATATGGCCTAAGAATTCTATATGATCAAGCCAGAAATCGCACTTACTGAATTTAGCAAACAACTTCTTTTCACGCAAAGTTTGCAAGACAAACCTCAAGTGTTGTTTATGTTCCTCCAAACTCTTCGAATACACCAAAATATCATCAATGAACACCACAATAAACTTATCAAGATACTGCCTGAACACTCTATTCATCAAATCCATAAAAGCAGCAGGAGCATTTGTTAATCCAAAAGGCATGACAAGAAATTCATAATGGGCATACCTTGTCCCGAAAGCGATTTTGATACATCATCTCGCCTTTATCTTCAACCGATGATACCGAACGAAGGTCAATCTTAGAAAATACCTGAGCTCCCTGAAGTTGATCAAACAAATCATCAATCCGGGGCAAAGGGTATTTATTTTTTATCGTCACCTTATTAAGTTCTCGATAATCGATGCAAAGCCGCATACTACCATCCTTCTTTTTTACAAAAAGAACTGGAGCTCCGCAAGGCGAAATGCTGGGTCTAATAAAACCCTTATCCAACAACTCCTGCAGCTGTACTTTCAATTCCTTCAATTCAGACGGTGCCATCCGATATGGCGCCTTAGAGATAGGCGTAGTACCAGGCATCAAATCAATAAAAAAATCAATCTCTCTATCAGGAGGTAAGCCAGGCAAATCTTCAGGAAACACATCTGGAAATTCTCTGACAATAGGAATATTTTCAAGCTTTACAACATCTTTACTTGTGTCTTTTACACAAGCCACATAATCGCAACAACCCTTCCTCAAAAGCTTCCTCACTTGTAAAGCTGATATCAATCTTGGCAAAGTGCCTTTACAACTTCCCGAAAAAGAGAATTCGGGTTGATTTGGAAGTCGAAAGACAACCTTCTTAGAATAGCAATCAACAGTTGCATGATATGTGGATAACCAATCCATTCCCAGAATAACATCGAAATCCCGTATATCTAACTCCACCAAATCGACAGGTAATACTACATCATTAATCCGGAGCAAACATCTCATGAACACACGGTTAGCAATCAGGAAATTTCCAGTAGGAGTATCAACATATATTTCATGCTCAAGAGGCTCAGGCAACACATCAAGTTTCCTTGCGAAGTCAATGGCAATAAAGGAATGCGTAGCACCCGGATCAAATAGCGCATACGCATATTGAGAGGCAATATAAATATTACCTGCAACAACTGCGTTGGACGCCGCCGCATCCTCCTTTGTTATCGCAAAAACTTTCTTGGTCGTCTTTTGCCTTTCCTTATTTCCTTGGGGCCTACCAGCTGAAGATGCAGTTTTCCTCATAGAACAAGCAGATGCTAGGTGCCCAGGCTGCCCACAAACAAAACACACTCTACTATCTCCAGGGATATCCTTCTGTGTAGGACAATCACGCGCCATATGTCCTATTTTCCCACAAAGGAAGCAAGCTCCTGTCTTGCGGTAACAAGGACCGCTATGACGCTTGCCACAAGTAGCACAAGGACCCGGATTACTCTGAATCTTGGGCCTTCCTGACTGATTGAAATCCCTCCGCTTTTTGCTACTATTGATCCGACTATCATGATAATCAGTGGGCTTAAACCTCTTGTACTGAGGTGCACTCTGTGCACCGCTCTCCAACATGTCTTTCTCCACCCTAATCGCTCGATCCAAGACATCTTTGTACGTAGTCAGTACAAAAGGCGTGAGAATACTGCGAATATCAGGTCGAAGTCCTCGCTGAAAGTGTTTTGCCCTTCGCTTTTCACTAGCCACGAAGCCTTCCTCGAATCTACTAAGCTGATTAAAGCGGGCTGCATACTCCATAACTGACGAGCTACCTTGAGATACATTTGCAAAGTCACTCCTCATCTTCGCTTGGAATGACTCGGGGAAGAATTGGGCATTGAATGCTTCAGTGAAGTCCTTCCAGGAAATGATTACATCAGTACCTCCAAGGGCGGGTCTAGTCCCCTGCCACCAACATATAGCTTCACCTTCCAAATAACGAGTGGCAAAGTTAACCTTTTGATTGCCATGAACATTTTCCGCTCTAAAGATTTCCTCTATGCTTCTAATCCAACCATCGGCCTTAAGAGGATCAAACTTCCCATCAAACTTAGGTGGATCTGCCTTTCTGAATTGTGCAAAGGTGCATGAGTCAGTGGTGCCACCTTCACTTAATTCCTTCGCCTGACGATACCAATGAATCATTGCTTGAGTGAAATCAGTCGGGGGATTAGGCTCTTGGGGTTCTTCCCTAGCTTCTCGTGAGTCGGAACTCACTTCATATTGGTCCTCCCGTCTCCTTTTTAAAGTCACACCTTGAGAACGTTGAGGCATATCTCTAGAGTCAGAAGTAATGACTCGCTTGCCTTTATTCTTCTTAAGAACTGAGGCAAGTGGCTCCGAGTCAGAACTCATGATCGCCTGAATCCAAGAATGAAATACCACTTAGTATATAAAAATCTAGCGCAAAAATCTATCACACAATCTCACAACGTCCCATATCTGTACTCCAAAAATCAAAACTTATGCTCTGATACCAATAAATGTCACACCCCAAACTCAACAAGAATAAAGGCATGACACGGCCATCCCTTAACAAAAGGACGCAACCTAAACATAACCAAAACTCACATGATATCAAAATATATGCAACCACATATATACATGATATAAAGTTTATTTGGTTACAATATCAGAGTTAACTACAATCCACCAAAAAGCTAAGTACATTAAGCTCCACATCCATGTGTAACTCGTACCAAAAAGTCACAACTATCAAAATGTTCTCCCCGACACTGGAACTCTCACGCCTACTAGCGTCTCGGTGAAGAACCTGAAAAACAAGTTAGATGAGAGGAATGAGCTACCACGGCTCAGTGAGTAATACATTTCTTCTAGGTAGATCGAGCACCCACTATGCACACAGTTATAAGACCAAACGAAAGCTCAATTAATCCCAACTCCAACATATCACAAACTTCAAAGTTAAAATACGTTATATACCAGTTTAAACATAACCTTTTCACAATAGAAAATCTCGTATTAATTAATAATATCAAAGGAGAAACCAATGGTCAATTCCATTGGCCAATCTCGTCGAAAAGCACACGCCAATGGTCTATTCCATCGGCCAATCTCATGCTCAGAAATCTAAGTATGATCACGGATAACGCCCCGTGAAAGGCGACCAAGATTCCCCCCTTGGCAAGGTCTCCACCTACTATAAACCGGTGGCTCGGCCCACAAGGATATCCTAGACTAGTATGCGCATACCTACAACCCCTTATTTGGGTTCACAGAGACACTGAGCATCAAAATCCACAACCTCCCATACCAGCAAATCCAATCCACAATCAAAATCACCAATATCCAAAAATCATTTCACAAACGGGTATATAACCCTTTAAAAATCACATTCAAACTCAAGAACTCCTCATAAGTCTTTCACAAAAGGTTTCACAAACCCTTTTTCATTCCATAAGTTCAAACCGAAACCAAAAGGAATCTTCTATTTCAAATACACAAAATGGCAGTAAATGCTCGATCCAGTTTTTATGCGAACAAAATGCCATTGCTTGTATGATAACATATCTAATACATATCATTTTCTAAACATGAGTTTACAAATTCAAAGAAGAAATAGTACCACTCACCTTGAAAAGCTGAAAACTAACCTACAGCGGTTTCTCGAGCCGACGCACTCGAATACCTAACAATAAGCCGAAAAACGATATCAAAACCGAGTAAAATGATACTTCAACTACGATTCGGCTCAACTAAGCTTAGACGCTAATATAATGACTAAAAGACGCCCCCAAATCACTCGTCCAAAGCGATTATCCAAATTCGTTCACGATGCGGAATTTGAGCGCGAAACTTCATTGCGCCATAACTTTCTCCACTAAACTCCGTTCTAAGCGAACTTATAGTGAAGAGAAAGCTTATTCAGAGCACTACAGGAACCCCAACTTGGCAGCCCCAAAATCGAGCCGAAAACCGACGAAAATCGGCCTAAAAACCACTGTTCGCGCACTGTTCACTGCGCGCACTCAACCTCAAAAATTCATATCCAGCAAACGGTAAGTCCAAATCAGGTTCCGTAAAATCCCACGGCTCCGCAACACTGTAAACTACCAATTCTATAAAAATACGCAGCTGAACGACTCAAAAATCAGACTTCGCCGCTCGAATTTCCCAAAATTCCGAATTTAAACCCTAAATCGGAAAACTTCTCCGATCAAACGAACGAGGGGCGCGAGTACTTACCGAGCGTTGCGATTCGAAGTCGAATCGGCTAGGCGAGGTCCGCGCGGCGCAAAACCCTCCCTTTCTTCTTCTTCTTCTCTTCCTCTCCTTTCTCTTCTTTTCCTCTCTGTTTTTCTGTTTCTGTTCGTGCTGCCCTTGGCTTCTTAAAGAAGAGCCGAACATCACTATTCCTTCTTTTGACTTGTTGACTTGATGATTTTTTTTTTTTTTTTTTTTTTTTTTCAGAACCCATATTTTACAGATTCGAGATTGTAAAATTAGTAAGATCGGACAATACCTAAAACTTGTACGGATTTTAATTTCTCTCCATTTTATAATGGACTGTCTCAAAAGAAGAAAATTGGACCAAATAAATTTGTCTTAAACCTTAAAACAGAAATCGCAACGAGACTTTAATCTTGAATGCTTGCTCCTCCGCTTTGTGATGAGTCTTAACATCGATGATGAACAACCCAAACAACGATGTAGCTTTAATATATTCTAAGACTATATATATATATATTAAGTTTTCTTTTTATATATATTAAGTTTACTTGGCTTCTCTCTCTTCTCTCTCTCCATTAAGTTTTCTTTTTCTCTAATATTTATTAAATATTTTTGAAGTATATTTATCGGGTATAGGACGATATTATCCTAACTATTTTGAAAGCTTAATCGATGGATAGATTTATCCAACTTCTATTGTATCTTTCATGATAATTTGTGTAGTGACCACCAATCCCCTTTTTCTTATTCAATTTATGAATTATGTGACTTTAATTTCATTTGTTTATGAACGGATATGAAATTATCGTTGGGTGTGATATAGCCTTCCTTTGAATATAACCCGGTTTCATTATTAAATTTGAAAATTGTACATGAGGATTCACTGAAGTGTGGCAAAAAGAAAGTAGAAGCCACAACACACTTCGTAGCTTATAAATTTGATGATAAAAAGAAATTTAGATTTGGCATATTGGTACCAAATTGCGCAATAATAAAACCACCTAAGTTCCAAACTTGAGATACGGAGGGTAATAATCAATACTAAATGAAATGAGTGGAAATTGATGTTCTTCCAGATTCATCGATTCATGATTAATTCTAGTTTGACAGAATTAATCTAGACAATAACCTTTGTAACTTTTTTAGGTAAAGATCCAAGTTGTAGGTGAAAAGTATCAACCACTATATCAAAGGAAAAAGGGTAGATTTCTTATTCCAACGGGAATTAAATTTCCCAAGGAATTTCTCTTGGCTTCTTCTTTTAAAATTCGTCGTAGTAATTCGTTTATGTTTCTTAAAAACGTCAAACAAGAAGCAACCCTTTTCCTCGTTGTCCATGGTCAGCAATCATCAACCAATTCATATTACGTATAATTACTCTAAAAACCCTAACAAAGGCATTCATATCTATCAGATACTCCCCACCTTATAATCATTTCTCTTACTGCCCCTCGCCACTACCTCCGTCGCCATTGACCACTGCTTTGTTCTTTTGCATCTCCAACTCCCTGGCCACGGACCTCCACTGTGTGTATTTACCAAAAAACTGCCCCATCTCCTCCAGCGTATGCCCCTGCGTCTCTGGCATAAACGTGTAGAAAAACACCCACGCGGCGCATGCGATCCCCATGAACAAGAAAAAGGCCCCGCCGATGGTGATCGCCTTATACAGTGATATGAACGTCATCGCTAACACTCCACTTGTCACCCGGTTCATGGCGACACCGATCGCACACCCCTGTGCACGCAGTCTCAGCGGGAAGATCTCTGAGCTGTACACCCACGTGATTGGCCCCATTCCAATAGAGAAAAAGGCCACGTAGGACAACACTGACGCGATGCACATAGCAACCGCCCACATGAGTTTCGTGCGGCTGTGGTCGATGATGGTGAGGCACATTCCGAGGGAGGCAAGCGAGACGATCATCCCACCAACGCTACTCAGCAACAATGGCCGCCTCCCGACGCGGTCAAGGAGGAAGGTGGCAACGAGGATGAACATTGTCTTTACGAAGCCGACCGCGATGGTGGCGACGAGCTTTTTGTCGGAGGAGGTGATGCCGGCCTTCTCGAAGATGCGAGGGCTGTAGAGGACGACGGCTTCGATGCCAGAGGCTTGTTGGAAGAAGTGGATGCCAACAGCGCATATGAGGATGTGGCGGACAGACGGGGTCGGGTGGAGGAGGAGATCGCGCCACACGCCTTCCCCAGTGCTCCGCTTGGTGACCTTGACAACATCTTCGTTGCACTCGTGAGGGATGCCAGCAGCCTCCTTGATGTCGGCAAGCCGGAGCACGGCCTCCTCCTTGGAGTCGGACGTCCTGGCAAGGACACGCTTTGCATCGCCCAAGCGACCCTGCATGATGAGCCACCGGGGGGACTCCGGCATGACGAGGATGACGAACGCAAGGAGGACTGAGGGGATTGCTCCCACGCCGAGCATCATACGCCACCCGAGGTTGAGGCGAAGCTTGGAGAAGGCATAATTAGAGATATAGCCAAGGAGGATGCCGGCGTTGATGAACACCTGAACCATTGAAATGACGTCCATTCATACTGGTTGGTAGCTGTAATAACAAAAAGTTCTAGATAAGAAAAATAAGCCCTAAAACATAATCACCTTTCTAACTTCAATTTTTCCTGTAACAAGAATAATGCACGTTCAACAATAAAAAGACAAAATTAATGTCAAATGAAAAAGATGCTATCAAATTAGGGGTAACAAAAAAGAAAATGAGAAAGTACCTCAGGGAAGGAGGTGAGAAAGCCGCGGGAGGAGGCAGGGGAGACCTCGGCTGTGTAGACGGGAGCGATCATGAGGGCATAGCCGACACCGATACCAGCGATGAAGCGGCCAAACATGAGGAAGGCGTAGTTGGGGGCGAAGCCCATGAGGAGGGCCCCGGCGAAGAAGATGGCCCCAGCCAAGACGATGGTGTAGCGGCGGCCGATCCAGTCGGAGGTTCGCCCCGCCATCGCCGACCCAAGGAGCGAGTACACGGCGAGGATCCCCGTCAAGACCTCCACCTGCACGTCGCTTATCTTCAGGTCCTTCTTTATGTATATCACCGCTCCGCTCATCACTCCTATATCTGCCGAAGTTTAAAAAAAAAAATCTTATTTACAAGAAATTGGAAAAATAATAAAAAATAAAATCCTGTGACCTTTTCTCCTCCCTTTTTCTTCAAGTTGATTTTCTTTTATATATATTATTAATAAGATGAGAATATTATAAATAATAAGCACAATGGATTTTATTCAAAATTAAGTTGGTTGGCTCAAAAAGGGAAAAAAATTATGATGTTATACGAAACCATTTAAAAATTCTCGTTTTTCTTTTGCTCTTTTTCATCTCCTATCCATAAAACAAATGACTTTTTGCAATAGATCTATTATTATGATTCGCTGTATGCAAATAAATTCACAAATGACATCGCAAAGATATGTGGTTTAGAGAGTTCCAAACATCATGGACGGGTCACCAGGACGAGTCTTCCCATGCTGTAACAACATCGAACGCATGGAGAGAGAGAGAGAGGGGGAACTGACCATAACCGAGCAAAACGGAGGTCATGGAGGCCAAGCTGGCGCAGGCGAGGGCGTACTTGTTCCGGCGCGGCTTTGCCGGAGGATCGAAGTCCTCGATCGACTTCCGTTCGACGCCGTTGTTGGAGACGGCATCTTTAGCCACGGTCTTCTGGTCAGCCATCTCCATCTTCTTCTCCAGAGAGAGAGAGAGAGGGAGAGAGTTTTTGGGTGTGATTATATGTATAGATTGAAAACGAGCGGAGAAGAAATGAGAGGAGTGAGGGAAGAAGGTACACGAAACTGGTGTGCAGGGATGCGGTGTGTACATATAGGCCAAAGCTCGCGTCGCTTGTCTTAGAAAGAGACCAAAACCTGCGTCACCGTTTGGACCGTGATTCTGTGCTCTCGTGGGTCCCCATCCACTTGACTCATAATCTTCACCGTCCCTCTTTTACCTAACATAAAACAAAGCTACAGGTGAAAAAACATCTTTTTGTGAAAAAACACTATTTTCGCTAAATAAGAGTTTGTCCGCATTTAATGTCATCAAAGAATTAGATCCGTCAAATGGGTCAGGTCGTATCAAAAATTGATCGACCCTCATTCAGAATGAGTCAATCAGAGTAAAACTGATACATTTGTGATAAATTTATCATCCGTTAAAGTGCATCTCCTCCGTTAAACTGATACATTTGTGACAAATTTACCTTCCGTTAAATTGATATATTTATGATAAATTTATCGTATGTTAAAAGAAATCGAAAGGCTATAATCTATAATTCTCAATTTATAGCAACGTACAATGTTTAAAGTGCATCTCCTCTACTAGTTCAGCTAGCTCTAACCAGAGTCCTATTGTCGACACACATTTGCGTATTCACATTCTTTGGACTAAAATTACTGTGGAAATGACAGCTGATGACTGATGTTCTTTTAACCGCTGATTGATTTGGAAAAACTTGATAACCAAATCCTCTACTAGTTCAGCTAGCTCTAACCAGAGTCCTATTGTCAACACACATGTTGCGTATTCACATTCTTTGGACTAAAATTACTGTGGAAATGGCAGCTGATGACTGATGTTCGTTTGACCGCTGATTGATTTGGAAAAAGCTCCAATATTCCCATAATGCTTTTACCATATTCAAAGATTAGACCTTTCTCGCCCTTTTGGATAAGATCAAGCATTTTACAAAATGAGGCTATTAATTAAAAAAAGGGTTTATTTTCCTGGGATTCACACAAAAAAAAAAGATTAATATCACGAAAAATTCAAACTGGTATACACGTGATAAATTTACTCAAAATTAAAATGAGGCTATTAATTAAAAAAAAGGTTTATTTTCCTGGGATTCACACCAAAAAAAAAAGATTAATATCACGAAAAATTTAAACTGGTATACACGTAACAAATTTACCCAAAATTAATTTTTTGACCACCAAAAATCCCAAATTGGTACACATGTGACAATTTCACCTTAAATTAATTTTTTGATCACCAAAAACCCCAAACTGATATATTTGTGACAAATTTACCATCCATTAAATTGGATTAATACCACAAAAAATCACAAACTGGTACACTTGTGATAAACTGAGGGTAAAACCCAAAACTGGTACACCTGTAAAC